TTATCTGCGTTATCCTTGACGGAAGATGATTCGAACGACTTTTTCGTAGCAGTAGACGATACCCCTGAACAAGTAGCCGCGACACCAATTGAAGAGCATAAACCAGCAAATCTGCAAGAAAATACAAAAACAGGAACAGACGATAAAAAAGGAGACAAACAAGACCCAAGAAGAAAAGTAATAACCAGAAATCCTGCTGCGGTAGATACTCCTCCTACGAAGGCAACTCGATCATCTAGTCGCTCAACTCGACAAAAGTAATTTAGTAAAATTTGGTATGTATGCTACTAATTGACATTCATATTCATATAATATTATATATAGTGTTTGTGGCAACGTTTCTAAATAAAACATGAATGAATATATAAAGAAATTTACTCCTACAAATCATGAATGCTTGACAATTAACAACGTTAAAGATTATCAAAAAAAAGCTAAAAAGTTTAAACATTCACTAAAACTATTCCATATTAATGTTTGTAGCATTGCAAAAAATTTAGACGAACTTCTTATATTTATCAAAGGATTAGATGAACAGTTTGACGTTATTGTGCTAACTGAAACATTTATAATTTATGATCCAAGTCAATTTCACATTCCAGATTACGATTTTATTTACAATGATAGTAGGTTAAATAGAAACGATGGTACAGTAGTTTTTATCAGGTCAGATATTCGTTATGCTTCTAGAATATGCAATATTGGGCTTACACTGGGCATTGAACTGAACTTTAGCATAAATCAAACTGAATTTGATTTAACTGCACTGTATAGATCTCATGAGATTAACTGCTTAAATTTCATAGAGAGTCTGGATGATTACCTACAAGAAAAACCAATAAAAACTTGTCAAATTATTATTGGAGACTTCAATGTTGACATTTTGAACCAATGTCTCAGATGAATACTTTAATTGTATGTATGCCAACGGGTTCCTGCCATACATAAATAAAATAACAAGGGTCAGAGTTGATCAGTGTTCTTGCCTGGATCATATATTTCTAAGATCAAACAAGAAACAGCTAAAAATAGAGTCCATCATTTTCGAACACAATTTAACAGACCATTTTCCAATTATGGCTTTTATAGAATCTGAAAAAAGGCAAAAACGTTCTTTACAAAAGACTTTTAAAAAAATTTACACAAATTACAAGGAAGTGATTAACAAACTGCAAGCTCCTGAAACGTGGAACAATTTTTATAGAACCCAGAATTTAGAGAGCGCGGCAGAAATTCTGATTGAAAAAATTAAATCAACAACTGAGGCTTGCACAAAAACAGTTACTTCTAAAATAAAATCTGAAAACTGGATGACAAAGACATTGATAAATGCTGTCTCCCAAAAAAATAAAATGTACACACAAGTAAAGTTACAGCCGGAGAACAAAGAACTGCATAACAATTATAAAAAATATAAAAATAATTTAACAAACGAAATAAACAATGCTAAAAAGCGGTATTACGAAAAACAGGTGAAAAATGCCACAAATTCCTCTCAAAGGCTATGTAAAATGACGAACAACATAACAAATAACAACAAAAAAACAGATCTAGATATGAAACAAATAATAGTAAATAATAACACAACATACACAAATACAACAGACATTGTAGAAGCTTTCAATAAACACTACTCTGAACTTGGAGAAATCTATGCAAAAAAAATAAAACCCCCACATATGACACCAGAGGAACAACCCAAGACTTTAAATTCAATTTTTTTAACCCCAACCAAACCCACAGAAATTCAAAACCTTATAAAAAAACTAAAATCAAAAAAAACTCCAGGACATGACCAAATTAGAGCGGAATCTTTAAAAAATATATCACAAGTAATAGGTATCGCCACATCTGTCCTTCTTAATAAACGAATGCTTTGCAACTGGATATTTTCCTAAAATCTTAAAAATTGGGATTATTAAACCAATATATAAAGGAGGGGACAAAAAGCATATCATAAATTATAGACCTATAACTCTCATTTCATCTGTTGCAAAGGTCTTCGAAATGGCAATAAAGGAACGACTTATTGGTTTTCTTGAAAAACATAAACTACTCTCGGAAAAACAGTTTGGTTTCAGAGCTGGCAGATCGACTGAGGATGCAATAGTGAATTTAACTAAAAAAATTAATGATTCATTAGACAACAAAAAACCTTCACTTTGCATTTTCGTCGATCTTGCCAAAGCGTTTGATACGGTGGATCATGCAAGGCTTGTCAGGAAACTGGAACGGATTGGACTTAGAGGACCGTGCCTTGAGCTGCTTATGAGTTACCTAAAGGATAGAAATCAAACAGTGCAAATTGAAGATACTTTTAGCTCAATGAAAACTGTAAAGTATGGCGTCCCACAAGGAACGGTCCTCGGTCCATTATTATTCATCGTTTACATCAATGACCTATTTTCCGTAAAAACCAGAGGCGATTTGGCAAGTTTTGCAGATGATACAGCCGGATTTTTCAGTGCGGACACTTGGCCGGAAGTAAAGCAAATAGCTGAAGAAGATTTCAAACAAATACAAAACTGGTTCAATCATAATTCTCTTACAGTAAATATAGATAAGACATATTATTTGCCGTTTTCGTCTTATAAAACAGGGTTGCCTATCAGTGGAAGCTTAATTATTGCGGGTTCTAGAAGTATAAAACAAGTGGAATCGGTTAAATATCTGGGAATTACTATAGACCAACACTTAAGGTGGGATTTGCATGTAAATAACCTTGTAAAAAAGCTCAGGTATTTGGTGTCTAGATTTCAATGTTTCAGAAAATATTTTAAGATGTCTGATCTCAAAACTTTGTACTTTGCACTTGTTCAGTCTCACTTGACATATGGCCTCTGCGGGTGGGGTGGCGTTAATGACTTTAATATTTCAAAACTAAATACAATTCAAAAATAATGGATCCTTAAAGTAATCTTCAACAAAGATAGAAAATATTCCACAGAAAAGCTATTCAATGAAAGCGGACTTTTAAATATCAGGCAGTTAATGTGTGAAAAGGTAGCTTTAAGGATTTTCAAAAATAAAGAACAAATTGAAGTCATGAGTCACCCGCACCAAACAAGAAATGTAGTTAATAAAAAGTCTAAACTTCCAAGAGCCAATAAAACAATAGGCACTAGACATATTGGCTATATTGCTCCTAGATTGTACAACATTATCCCAGATTATGTGAAAGGTGAAAGAAAAATTCAAAAATTTAAAAAGGAATTTAAAAACTGGATTAAAGGTGCAAATGACCTTATTAAAAATATAATCTAAGTGACTTGAAAAAAGTGTTCTGTAGTGATATGATGTGGCAAATATATTCTCGAATGTGACTTAAAAAACTCGAAATTGACGTTATCCTCGATTAAGACATTTTTACCGATCAAGACTTTTCTAACCGATTAAGACTATAAAACTGTGAAGTATTCCTTCACAAACAACCTTCTCACAACAAGTGTGTAACACTTCAAACGTGAGTCTGTTTATTGCCATTTACATGTTTTCATATAGGCAACCTTAAAAGAATTGCTATTTGTATTATTTGAATGTCAATAAACAAATTTATTATTATTATTATTATTATATATAGAAGGTAGCGAGAAAGGTAGGCAGCAGAATGTTTTGTTTGGGGACCTGATGTCAGAAAAGCTAAATGTGAGCTCTGGCGTCCCGTAGGGATCAGTGCTGGGGCCTCTGTTGTTCGTCCTCTATATAAATGATTTGGCACTCATTGATATAGCGGGCCAATTTACACTTTTTGCTAACGATGCTACCATCTTGTGGCATGGAAAAAATGAAAGTGTATTGAGTGATCCTATAAATAATGACTTGGTTCATGTGAAGGAATAGTGGGACTCAAATAATCTTTCATTAAATGTTAAAAAAACATGCATAATGTCATTTAAATGTAATTCACAAGGTATTTCACTCAACAATTCTAATGTTACCAATTTGATCGAAAACTTTCTGGGTATATACATTGATGACAGATTGAAGTTTGAGGCCCACGTTGAAGCTCTCAATAGAAAGTTGGCATCTGGCTGTTATGCACTGAGAACTATTAGTACCCAACTTGATAGGTCGACGGCACGTAAAACTTACTCTGCCTTGATCGAGTCCCATTTGCGATATGGTGTGTGCTTTCAGGATGTTTGCTCTAAGAGACTCCTTAATAGCGTATTTATTTTGCAGAAGAGGGCAGTGAGATACATATGCTGAGCAAAAGTTAAAGACTCATGTTGGCCTTTATTTCTGTCGGAGGGAATTTTGACCTTGCCAAGTATTTTTATATTGGAAACTGCTTGTCTTGTGCAGAAGAAGTATAAGCAGAGGCAGGGTGTTGCTGCCCTCTCAGAACGCAGTTCTCGTCTTTCCCATCTGCTTAACTTGCCTATCTGTAACAGTGCACCAACCAAAAAGTCGCTTATTTACAATGATAGAAAAAAATTCAATCATTTACCACATTTCCTTAGGCAAATAAATAATGCTCGAAATAATGATAGGATTTTTGGTAAAAGCCCTAAAGGCATTATTGCTTGTGCGGCCTTTTTATAACATTGAGGATTTTTTTCTGGAAAATTTCCAGTGAGTCACTACCTTGGGTCACTGCTTGCTTGTTTTAAGGTTTTATTGTTTAATTTTTGTTTTAATGACTGATTTTTCGCATTCTGTCTATCTCAATGTTGACTGTGTCTTTATATTTTAATCAGTTTGTTTTTTAAGAATTTGCAAGTGTTATATTTTTTTTAACGAATTTTATTTTATTGTCTTTTATGTAACTAGTTCTAAGGCTTTTTATTGCGGTGTTTATAGATTTAAGTTTGGCTTTGTCAATAGGATTGTATATCTTCAATAATAAAGCAAATTTTGATTTGTGATATCTAGGAATATTGAGAATTGCAAAGAAGTACTAGGAAATATTTGTAAATACTTATTAGAAATGAGGACCATCGAAATCGGTGTTCAATTTTTGAAGGTGAAAACCCCCTTCGAATGGAGGTAATGCTTACCTTAGAACATAATGCCTTAAAAATATGAAATAGAGACAACACATAACTGACTGTTTCATCTTCAGTCAAATTGTTCAATCCTCGAACCAATTTCTTTGTAAGTTTTTCAAGCGCGTCCAGTTCACAAGTTTCGAGTTTCTTTGAGCAAGTTGCAGATACTGATATGAAGACGTTCAAGGTACTTTCTTTAGAGAAATTTGTCTGCTCTAGTAGATGGACCACGCGATGAAATTGGCCCTTGGCGGCACAGCCGTATATTTCTCTCAGTTGTTGTTTTCCAGGAGGCTCCCGGTCTTTTTTTTGCGCTAATGAAAATACAATATTATCGTCAACAAATGTGCTTAGTAAAATAGAATCGATTTCCTCACCTTGATTTTTATCCATTGCATCAAATATTTAATTGATTATTATTATTTTTAGTTTTTTCACTTTTTTCAAATAAATTAAATTTAACGTTACACATTTCAGGCAGGATTCAAATTACGAAAACAAAAACACAAATAAACTCTGTCAATGTCACAATGTCAATTGTCCGAATTCGTCAACGGTTCCTAGTTAGAGCGCGTTCGAAAACGTGGTAGTTGGTGTAAGAACGATTTTCAAGAGAGTGAACCTCACTGTAAGTGAACCGACATAAGGCCTATTTTCCTCGAACATTCGGTCGCGGAGAATAGACAGTCCAACTGACAACGTGAACGTCGTCATTGGTTCAGGTATAACGTACACCCGTTACCTGACGTCAGCGTCAGCGTCAGAAAACGGGTGTACGTCATACCTACGGTCATACCTGAACCAATGACGACATTCACGTTGTCAGTTGCGCGTCGCGTACTATCCTAACAAACCGTACCTTAAAGTAAAAGTCAAAAAAGTGACATTTTCGAACTTTTTAAAAGTCAGTAAAGTCAACATTACATGTATGATTGTAAATAAAATCATTTTACACCACTCCATTGTTGATTTAGATTAGAAGCTTGAATGTAGAATAGCTACTGGATACTGATACAAGACGTCCTGTGGACGTGGAGGGATAACGGGCTGCAAGACGGATGTCAATGCGTTGTCCCATGAGGGAGTGAAAAATGATTTTTTTTACTACTTACCTGAGAAATAGTCATTATTCAATCTATTTTTCTAGGAAAAAATTGAATTTCTCTCCCTAGGTGAATAATGAAAATAATGAAAAAGTCCCTAGGTCAATAATGAAAATGACGTCATAACGCAAGGTTATTGTCATGTTTCTATTGGTCCAATTTCAATTTCATGCGTCAATTTAAAACAAAATACAGGTTTCTGTAGGTACATAGGAAGTTATCGTAAGCTGTTGATAGAGGGCAGCACTTTTAAGAGGGCGTTCAAAAAAAAATAATTAGAGCACAGATTTTAAGCAAATTTTTTATTTTCTACTAGCAGTAGTAAAAAAAATTCTATATATTCCTCGGTAGAGAAAGTCATTATATACCTCACGCATTATAAACCTCGGCGCTTTGCGCCTCGGTTTATAAAAGCGCTCGGTATATATAATGACCAACTTCTCTACCTAGGTATATAATATACTATTATTTTTAACCATATATGAAATGTTGTCATTACTGACTTTTCAAAAATTTGAAAATTTCACATTTCTGTCTTTTCATTTTCCTGCTCCATTACCTGTCCCAGGACGGGAAATTTTTTCCGTCCTCATTTCCCGTCCACGGACGGAAAATGGAGCAGGGAAATATTTCCCGTTCTCATTTTCCTCTTCATTTGCCGACCTCATTTGGTTGCCCCGAATTTTTTTTTTTCAAGAAATTATGGTTAAAAATAAAATAGTATACAACCCTCGACGGGAAACTTCATTGCTGTCTCGAGGTTCAGTTTATCTCGACGCTACGCGACTCGATACACTATAAAACCTCTCGACCAGTAATGAAGCATTTCCCGTCTCGGATTGTAATATACTATTACACCACTTCATGCTTATGTCCGCTGGAAGAATATATGTTAAAAAATGCTAATACATCAGTCCAAGACGTTTTTTCTGGAAATAAGTTAATAAATCCATTTTTTCTTTTAACTGAACTGTTGAGTTATTTACTGAACCGTTCACTGTTCATTCTTTTCTAAACCATACAGATGGAAAAGGACAGTTGACATAGCAGCTCAACAGGGGAGTCTGCTGAATACAGGAATTATCATTTCTGTTTACAATTCCAGACAGATCATGTGTTGTGTCATTTTTTTGCTGCTTCAAAATCAAATTTCTCAAATTTACCTAGGGTGAAAGTACCTGTTGTCGGCCACTTAAGGCAAATTCTGGAATAAAATGGCGATTGAAAATTAGTAGATAGAGCGAATCGAATTTAAATTATGTTTTATGATACCTTATAGTATATAAAATTGATTGCTGCAACAAAAAAGGCTAAAAGGTTTTGTATTTTTATAGAAAAATGCTTTTATTCAAAAAATATGCATTTTGCCTGTTGTCGGACAATCATCACATTTCTCGGACACAAAAGGACCCGTTGTCGGACGCGTGTCCGAGAAATACGTTTTTTCGTCCACATAAACTAGTACCTACATGCTAAACCAATATTTTATTTTGGAGTTTTTAGTCAATTTTCTTTTTCTTCCATCATTGTTTGCATTTTTTTTGGTATTTTGTTTCTCTAGTCTTTCCTCTTTTTTCTTTTTTTGTGCTTCAAGTTTTTTTTTCTTTTTCTTGTTCCTTTCTTTCATAATATAATCTCCATGCCTTCGATGAGATTGCACTTGATAATTTCTCTTTTTTTTTGTTTTCTTGGCTCTTATTTGATAGGTTCCGGAAATTGGAGGTGGCGACTGAAATGACTTACAACAACGGCAACATTTGGCAGTTTAATGGGAGTTTTTTTTGAGCTTCCAGTCCTATGTCTGTTGTTTTATCAGGTTTCTCAGTTCTAGGAGAATCGCTTTGATCTTTAAAAGGAGATTTTTCCATTGCTTCTTCAATTTCTATTTCATAAATACTTTTATCAGATTTATTCTCTGTACACTTGTAGCACTTTTTTATTAAAATGAAAGCAGAAAGCACTACCCCAAACCCCATACTCATATAAGTAATGTAAAATGTCCGAGAACTTTACACTTACCTTTTCTCGGACATCTTTTCAGGTATACTACAATTTGACGCCTTTGTGGTTTATAGTGTCCGCAAACTGGTCCATAGAATCTCGATACAGTCGTCTAATGTATCTAATAAGGAAAATTAAGTTGAAAATCAAATAGGCTAGAAAAAGATAAATATAGTTTCAACGTGCCGGACCAATTGTCGGACAGAGTGGCCGAGAAGAGGAGTCTGCCGATTTATAGGACCGGTTATCCGCGGACATTATAAAAATAAACAAAATATTATTATTCTTTTAATTTTTATGGTTATAATCGTAAATTAACATGTTTATAATTAAAAAACATCAAGAAAGTATCGAAAAATGGAGTAGGAACATTTTTACTTACTATTTCCTTCTTAGCTTCACACTAGCAAATTTTTTCACTTGATCAAAAGGGCTGTGTTGGGAAAAACAGCCGACATATTATTATTTTACTTAATTTGGTCTAGGCCCGTAAAGAGGGTGGTATTACAAAAACTGGTGGGGAAATAGTGTCTGAAAGTAGGTATTATTTTGAAAAGGGGTTTGATATAATATTTTCCTATTTATTGGATATTTTGTCGTAAAGTGTCCGACAACAGGGGGTGGCCGGCTAACAGGTACTTTCACCCTACCTATATAATAATTACAATCCGTCAGGTGTTATGGCATATCCACCTCAAAAAAAAATAAAATGATTATAGGCCGTCAGAAAAAGAACAATTTTCATAAAAGCCGCCAAAGACATTTATTATAATAGGAGGCTGGCAAACTCCAAAAATGTTGCAAAAGAAACATGGTCAATAATTGTTAATGACTTGAGGAATAAGGCTTCTTCATCTAGCAAAATTCCTACTTCACCTGAGATCCTTAACGATTACTTTGTTGATGTGGCTAAGAATTTAGTGAATACCTTAACTCCTTCCCAGGACCCACTTTCATATCTCCTGAATGCTAAGGTGAACTTACACAGTTTCTTCTTCACGCCTGTAGTAGTTCCAGAGCTTCGCAGTACAATCAAAGATATTAAAAACAAATCTTCATCGGGGACTGATGGACTCACCCTCAAAATGTTCTCTAATCTTCCGATTGCACATTAAAACATCTTACTACTCTGATCAACAAGTCGTTTCTAAATGGAGCTTTTCCAAACTGTCTTAAGATGGCGATAATTATCCCGCTGCATAAGGGACGTGATAAGGAGCTACCTTCAAACTATCGCCCCATTGCACTCCTTCCTACGCTATCAAAGATCATAGAAAGATTGGTTAAAAAGAGGCTTCTATCATTTCTCTCTAAATATAATATTCTAACTACCAGTCAATTCGGTTTCCTAAGTAACAAATGTACCAATGATGCAATGTTTTCCCTTTTCAATAATGTATACTCCAGCCTGAACTGCCACCACTCTACAGCCTCAATTTTCTGTGATTTCTCCAAAGCTTTCGACTGTGTTAATCATAATATCTTAATTAACAAAATACAGTTCTACGGTTTCAGAGGAATGGCTCTCGAATGGTTTAAGTCTTATCTTGGTAACAGAAGCCAGCTTGTGAGGGTGGACTCGACCATGTCCTCTTGTAAACCAATTGAATGTGGTGTGCCTCAGGGCTCAGTTCTTAGCCCTATTTTGTTCCTGCTATTTATTAACGACATTGCTAGTCTGGATATTAGCGGCAAAGTTTGCCTCTTCGCAGACGATACTAGTTTCACTTGGAGCAACCCGGATATTACGGAACTCCATAGAACCGTATCTAGTGACTTAATCACCAAATCATGGTGTGACTCAAATCTCCTGTGCCTCAACCTCTCTAAAACCAAAGTTTTATCTTACAGAGCTTCGCTCCAATCTGTAGTACTGGATAACAATACCATGGAGGCCGTTGATTCCGTGAAATTCCTGGGGCTTGTTGTTGATAAATCTCTAAAGTGGGACCTGCATATCGACGCCTTAGAAAAGAAATTAAGTTCGGCCTGTTTTGCACTGAGATCTGTTTCCAGGGAGCTTAACTCGGCAACTTGCAGGATGGTATATTATACTCTTTTTGAGTCGCATTTACGTTACGCCCTTCCATTCTGGGGCACGTGTTGTGCGTCTCATCAAAATAGGTGAATGACATATTTTGGCATGTTTGTTTTATTTTTTTAATAAAAAAGGGCAGTGCGCGACGCACAACTCACTTCTGTCGAACGCCACGGACGTCTGCTAAAATCAACCGAGTGTAAAGGTACGGTTTGTTAGGATAGTACGCGACGCGCAACTGACAACGTAAACGTCGTCATTGGTTCAGGTACGTTCAGGTATGACGTACACCCGTTACCTGATGTCGGCCTCAGCGTCAGAAAATGGGTGTACGTCATACCTGAACCAATGACGACGT